ATCATCATCATCATCATCATCATCATCATCATCATCATCCATTGTGCTAAGAACTTCGCCCTGGTTGTGATACAAAACGGTCGGACCACGGAGGTCGACGCTCTCGTTCCCTGAGAAGGGAACAAAAACACGGCGCCGGACGTGCCCAACGAAGTGCCAGTGGTGAACAACGGGCCGCGCCGCGCGGCGCGCCTCTTGCATCTTGGTGTTGAAGTTCTTTCTCGAAAAGATTTGCGAGGACACCTTGCCTCAGTGGCGAGAGAGAAGAAGGAAAAAGAAGGATGAGTGAAACATCGGAATCAAGCATGTCCATGGTATAGACACCTCTTCCTGGCCACCAATCTTGATAAAGAAAAGCTTCTTGTTTGGGAGACCCTTCCAGCGGGGATGTACCACCTGGCATACAACCACAGTGAGGAAGGCCCATGAAGACAAGCTAACCTGGACCATCTACCGGGTGCCCAATGGAGATCCACAAGTAGTGGGTAGTCGTCCGGCGCCCCGATGATCGGTGAACCTGGTCGCCAGGGAACACCAGGTGGACCGGTCGTTGAGGGTCCATATCACCACTCTTCAATGCACCCGACTTCGTACTCTCAGAAGCTGTAATGATGATGTGTATCATTTGGTGAAGGAAGGAATGGAGGGGCCCAGGGTGCATCCCATGAATCCCAGGTCATTTTTGGGTGTGTATGCAAATACGGAGACCTCCCCCCTGGAAGAAGGGAAACCAACCAGCCTATCCATTGGTTGGATTCGTTGCCATCACCTCCTGAAATACAGGCCATTTGTGAGCCCCAAGCATCTTCTCTTACAACCTGCCCTCATCTCTGGGCAGCCAGCTGACGCATTTGGTTCCAGTCCTTGCCGCTGTCCTCAGCCCCGACTCCATGCTTCACCTGGGAAAATCCGATGGGAAAGTGTCTGGCCAGTTTCATACTTCTCGTGTAGGACCAGGATATCTTGATATCTGTATTATTTTGATACTTTTTTCAGGAGTTCGACCAAGAAACATAAGTGGAAGTCATTGTAAAAACAGTGTGTGTGGTGTAGTCGATGACTACTGTACTCACCCTGGTGAGTACAGCCGTTGAACCCCTGGAAAAAGACAGATGGACCTTTTTGGCACCTGTTCGTTTTCAGCAGGAAAACCAATCCCCAACAAGTTTCAGGGTCATCGATCCCCGCTTTTTGTCCTTCTGTTTCCTGGGTTGGACTCTTGACACCCTTGCCACCCCCCCAAGAGTGTTTTATTTGAGGAACCAAGCTGCTGCAAGCTCAAGGACCAATCGACTGCCTATGTGTTCGGGCTGTTTGCACCAATCCCAAACACTCCATGTATGAAACAGTTAAATACATTAGTCATACATATAAATACATGGAGGTAAATGATGGTAAATGTATGTATACTAAGTCCTATATACTATATAAAACTATTCCATACATGGAGTGTCTGGGCATGGATTTCCTTTGGGGGCCTCTCGACTGTCTGTTCTCTCGTTTTTTTATCGGACCTGATTCTACTAAGGAAACGGTCTGGGTAAGCTATGACTTATGCTGATGAAGTTGATTTGTATGCACTGAGGCGCCACCAATGTCATATTGCGTATGTCTCTGAATTCGCATTTTTGCACACAGCCACCGCTTGAGCGCCAAGGAAAAAACATGTATGGAACATATATCCCTACATTGACCCCCCTAAACTACCCCAATGTATTGCACATACTTAGGCAAATCTATTCAAATGTTGTTTATGGTGGCATACATGGAACATCTGGGTTTCGACTTATCACTTACAATAGAAAGTTGTAGTTGCCTGCAACATGCACACAGGAGTTGTCACCATCAGCCCTCCTTGGTCTTAGGCAACTCCCAACGTCACTACGCTCAGCGCATGTATGTCTAGCCCTTCTTCTGTAAAAAATCTCAAGTGCTACATGTATACTGTTATATAGGTAAACATTACCGATACCTACCACCAAACAACATCCCAAAAACCCTGCAACTGTAGACCATCTGATCGTGCTCACCTGGAATGCCGACAGAAGTATTCGATCATGCATCTGCACCGAACAAACACCTCCTCTCCAGACCCGCGCTGGGGCGCGATGAAAATGCCATCGCCCAAGAACTCCTGGAGAGTTTTTGAAACATCGCTCGGCCGGCAAACGACCAGAAAAGGGGGTCAACGACCCGAAAAAGGTCTGGAGCTTGGTATCGCTTGAGTCCTGTTCAAGCTGCGGGCTGGAGCTTGGTTTTGCTTGGTCCACAGAAAACACATGGATTCTGAAAGCGAGTCGGGGACAGTTGAGTCGACCAATGAACGCACCTGGGAGTCGACCTCTGAAAGTACTGAGATCTTCAGAAAAGACTTGGGGTCTCCGGCAAGTAAATGTAGACTCTTCATTAATAAAACACCCAATTGAAACGGAACATCCTCTTCATATGGGGAGTTTATTAATGAAGAGTCTACATTACTGGTGCCTCGTTTTGCCCCGTCGAACTCAGGAGTTGCGACAGAAGGTCCTAACCGGGTCCAGGTATACCCTGCACTGCAAGTGGGACAAAAAATCGCTTCCATGGGACCATGGCGTTCGCCTGGCAGGTCCTCTTCCAAGCCCTGTGAGTCCGACCCCGTCCAAAGACCCCGTCCGCGGTCGGATGCTTCGGTGAATCGGAAATCATCACCGGTCCGTGCGGCCTCTTCTTCACCTCTGATTCGACACCCCAAACGGGGGGCCTTGGTATAATATATATATAGGATCTGGTCGAAATGTCTTCTTCCAAAAATGGTTGAAAGTCGTGTTCACATGGGGGCCCGCTACATATTCTTTACTTTTGGCACACACACACAGCTGGTTAATGAAGGAAACATAGACCAAACAAGTATTGGCGCCAAATTGTAAGAGGCGTCACTAGCGCTGCAGCGTTTTCAGCTGATCTCCGAGCTTCAAGCCGTGCTTGAAACAAAAGACATGTTGCAACTCAGCCTTGGAAGGGTCAACGCTGGAATCTGGCAATGTTTGCTAGCGCGGATATAGCGCAGTCCTAGCGCGCGGCTAGCGCATTTTTCAGCCAGCCACTTTTCAAATACCTGACGAGGTTCTGAACATGCCCTGAGGCAAATACTAGCGGCACTAGCGCAAGTCTACCGCAAACCTAGCGCCCAGCTGCAGAATAGTTGTGTTTAGCTGGGGGCCCGCTACATAATCAATCAACAAAAACAACATCATAAGCTACTTTCGACCCCTTTATCTATTTTTTTGCTTATAGACTTTTGGCCGGACTCCATACATGATATATATATATGTATATAACTTAACACCCTTCTTTTTCTCCAAACTGCAGACATACCCTAAATCAGTCAGCACGGATCATTGAGGAAATTCTAGATTCTAGAGGGATCACCTTCATGATACTGGAATGTTCTGGATGTCTTTGATCACACTCTGATCCCTTAAGCAAGCAAACTTACTGCACAGACCGAAACAAAACAAACAAACACAGTAGGTTTTCAGATCCCACCGCCACAGATCCAAACAAACAACATCCAACGGAGACACAACGACTGTTTGTTTCATGTCCTTCAAGTAGAAGAAGAAGGGATCGACTGTGGTGTCGCTCCTGAGCTGAGCGACATGACATTAATTGAACACCAGCACAAGCCGCTTGGGGTCGCCCAATGGACTACAGTACCCTACATAAGTATAGTCTACTTATGGATCTCCCTTGGACACCCTTTTTTCAGTTGAAAATTGCTCTCACCCGGAGGGATACTGCTAAAGGCCGTGGCAGGGCTGCAGACCACACCGATCGCGCAGTAGTGATCGCTCGCTCGATGGAGGTCGACCGGTGTTGTTTGATCAAACGACTGTCTAATTCTGCAGGGGCACCAGCAAAAACTCAAGACACGCTTATGTGGCCCTTTGGTTTGGCCCTTTGGGTGCTTTGCCAAAAGCACGTTCTTGCTACGTAGACATTCAAAAAAATGCACCAGTCTAACCAGTCCCTAGGCATCACACATACACACAAGCGCACACCTTTTTCCAGATTAGCAGAGCTTATACAGAGACGTCCTGAATATAAACTGAACTGAAATTGGCAAGATCCAGGAATCACTGAGTATGAACTGAACTGAAGTTGGCAACATCCAGAAATCAAAGCAACTCAGACTGTGTAGGAACTGTTGCTCCCAAAGGGCCGAACCAAAGGGCCACATAAGCTCATACATCAAAAGTCAAAAAGGTTGAACAATGTTAAAAGAGATCACCCATGGGTTGAGGGTCCCTTCTTTGGAGAACCATTTCTGGTTGCTAGCTCGCAAAGCAAATCTGTGGTCTGCAGGATAGTGGCAATCGTTAGTTGTGATCCGCTGTCAGAAATACAAGGATCTCAATATGTGTTGTGATCCTTATATATCAAGTGGAGACAGCCTTCCAGGAGGCAACTGCCATGCTTGCATATAGACAGGTAAGTACCAGTTCAGTGATGCATAGGACTTGACAGCTAATGCAAGGGAGATGCCTATTTTGAGATTCCAAGGAACATGCGCCCAAACTCACAACCAAGTTCCAACTCAATGAATGATAAAGTCTGAGGTCACCAAACCTTACAAACACCCGGGCCCAGGCCACAAGAAGAACCAAACAAAAGCGCAACAGCAAGTCAAGTGACAGAGCACCAAGGACCAAGGAGTCAACCCAGCTTTTTTGACTCACGCAACCAAATTCGTTGTCCAAGCATGCCTATGGCATCGGAAAAAGTGAAAGCGATGCTAGCAGCACGCTAAAGCGTGCTGCTAATCACACCTCAAATTCAAGGGCGCAACGCCCAGGAGCTCCATCACATGGATCACATAGCCATAGGTCTCTCGCAGGGTCCTAGGGATAACCCATCAAACCAAATAATTACTACTTCAAATACCAAACAGTTGAACTATATTCGAAAACAAGATTCTGCTGACCAGCTCGCAGTTCATCAAGAACTCGTGCGAGAATGAGCTCATCCTCAACGATGTCCTTGGCAAGATGACATGGTAATTAAACTTGAGCTGGGGCCTACTTGCAGAACATTTAAGAACACAAATGCACACAAAAAAATTAAGCAGTCCCAGAATCCTGGAACATGCATTGGGCATTATGATTTTCCCTAATAGCGAGCCACAGAACTGCTTCACATTGCTGCAAACAATAGATCATGGATCCAGGCGGTGCCCGAAGAACCACCTGTGCATGAGAGGGCTGCGGTCCTGGAGAGGGCTGCGGCCCTCCAGAGGGCTGTGGGCCATGAGAGGCCGCCGGTCCATCCGAGGGCTCTGCTCCAGAAGAGGTAGGTGGCTTTGCTCCATAAGAGGTCGGTGGTCCACGAGTGTCCGCCATGCTTGCAAGACACAAACAGACAGTGACAAATCAATCCACACAGCTTGACCCACTCAGCAGGCATAGGAAACCGCCAGAAGGCATGCAACTGCGTGAGGCACAAAGCAAACAGAATCCAACAACATCTGACATTTTGGGCAGGCGATTGCGAATCTGATTGTTTTGCTTGTTCCCACATTGTTAGATTTGCACAGTGGCCAGCTTTTTTACATGCTCTGAAAGTGTCCAACCTTCTGGGACAGGAATTCAGAACAGCTCTTCTTCTTTGATTGAACATACAGGAAGCACTGCTCATGAATGTGGGGCGGAAATTTGAGCGTGACAATGTAAACATGCGAGGAAGGCAGTTGACTGAAAAAACTGTGTGGCTCTGAGAATAGGAATGGAACAAGCTCGGCATGTTATAAATACCTTTACTTTTGCGTTTTGCAAAGGCTTATAGAAAAGAGTAGTCTAACTAACTGCAAGCTGGCAAGAGTGTGAAACACAGTTGCCCATCAGCTGCTGCATCCCCTGTATGAAAGGCCTGGCCGCAACATCCAGAACAGCGAGTGACCCAATATATAAACCACATGACAGAATACGTTTACAAGGTTGTGTGGTCTTGTGAAAGAGAATCAAACCAACCAAGTGCTGCAACTCAAGCCCCCCTGCCTTTGTGAGATCTGAAAAGTGCTGGAGGGCCAGCCCACACAATGATTTCCTGCACCAGTTCATTAGCCATAACCGCGCTGCTCAAAAAGAAACATAAAGACACATCTACAACTGTCAGACGCCACGCTTGCCAAGAGCTGACCAGAGCGCCGCGAGAACCATGAGCTTCGCTTGAAGCGCCAGCGACCAGATTGTGAACAACATGTTCTCACCCCACACCCCAAACCCTGGACGCCGGTCGATCACTGCTTTGCCTGCTTTTGCCTGCATGTCGAGTTGCCGAGTTGCGTCTAAGTGCGTTGACTCATCACCTCAGAGCCTCATCCTTCCCTTCCAGGTCGCGGAACGATGCAAACACAAGAGGCAGGCCGCGGTTGGAAACGCATTCATTGCTACTTTGCGACTGGCATCTTAAGAGCAGCACCATCATGACACACATGCGCGTTTAAAAAATATCTGCAGAGCCCCAATCTACTACTAGACAAGAACCTCCTCGCAAAAGCTTGGGTTAAGTGTGAAGCAAACAGGGAAAAGGGCATGGGTTCAGCGCAAAACGGTCATCGCGTGCACTTTGATCATCCATTCCTCGTCTTCCTTCTCCAGGATTGCGAGAAACATGGCCAGCACCAAAGACAATCATCTTGAATTTCGCGAACTTTGTTTGTGTCTGCTGGAGGTTTCTGGGCGACTTGCTGCCCTACATTGAGGCAGCCCCTGTACCCTATATATACTGCAATCATGAGAACAAAACCTGCGCAAACCCGGCTGAACCAGACTGTGGGACGCATGTCCTTGAAGTGAAGTGGGCATGCAACAATGCCCGCGAAATCTTCATCTGAGCCAGACCTAAGTTAGAACAAATATATAAATACCATACTTCCATGCGCCAACTGCCACTCCCACCCTTAAGTTGGTCCAACCTGCCCAGGATTCTGTTGGTCGAAAACAGGGGCCACCACAACAGCTTCGCAAACAGCATGTCAACAGGGGATCTTTAACAAGAATGCTCACAGCACTAAAGATTTGCAATCGCTCAATGACCAGCATGCTTTTGGGGTAGACATCTGACTGTTTAAACACACACACATATATATATATAAATATAGTGGGCATGGGCAGTGATGTGAAAGCATGAGACCTTGGTCTCCCTTGCACCACAACCTGAACACTCTCATGAAGGGACAGGTAAACCCAGTCCTATTCATTCCAGACCTGAAACAGAACATTGGAACTCCACACCCCCTTCCTGCTTTAGTCTTCCTGCCAGTGCAGGATCCACTGTTGAACCAAACTGCGAAGCCATCGCAATAGCTCTAAGACAGCGTTGCTCCCAGCATAACGCACCACCTAAATGGCTAATGTTGGTTGCAATGAATCAGGGACAGTCCTGAATCTGAGCGCATACGCTGTCAAAGGCGACAAACAAGAACGGAGCACCTGAGGCTGAAACAGAATTCAGAATGAAAAGCGCTGTCCAACCTGCAGTGCGTGTTTAGATGCTGCATTATAAGTGTTTTTTTAACAGCTGCGTGAAAGACTATGACAGGCATGCAAACACCAGATCAAAGCATTGTGAAATCAGTGATCAAAGCCAGATCAGGACCAGATCAACCAAACAGGGCTTGCAAGCATTACAGATCAATGATCTGTAACAAGCGCTGGGCCTCACATAACTTGAAGTGAAGTACTACATGCACCCAGCAGGCCAACTCAATCAGCCCAACAGGCAAAGCTTCCCAATTCTATACACACAGGTTCATCTCATACACAGCCTTAGGCTGGCCCATGAGAGCACGCAGGGTGGATGGCAACAACCTCCCCTGCAAAAGCTCGACCACGTGTGCCTCCATGGCTTTCAACTCTGAGCGCTTGATCTCAGCGTAGCTGACCAATTTCTCTGAGACATCTTCAGCGTCATGTCTGTGCACCATCAGCATTGCTGACATAGACACCAAAGTGACCAGTAGCACGGTTCGCTTCCTGAATTTCTGGCGAAGCTAGACTAAATTCACAAATCACTTTACATGTTTGGGGCCCCTGTGGAAACAGTGCCAGTGCTGCAGCTGCTTATGAAACGCAGACAAGACAGAAACAATCAGTAAAGCATTGCCTGTTGAAACTGGGCTGAGTTTCTGCGCTGTCAATTGGTGGAAAGCATTTAAGCTCCAAACAGCTTCAAACAACGTGGAGCTGTCAGCACCCAGTCGCATCCATGCACGCCACTCCAGGTGACATCTTGTGGAGTCTATGATTTTTTTCAAATCATTCAGCAAAACATCTTGGGAAACTGGATCACTGCTAGCCACAGCCTTGCGGTCATCACGGGAAACCATGTCAAAGGACCCCAAGCTGAAGTCTGTAGGTTGCCTGCTCAACTCAGGGGTGGTATATAAACTCATTCAAAAGATGTACAGCGCTTGCCTGCGTGTTCTTTTGCGTGGTCGGAGCATGTCGCCCAAGCCCAAACCATTGATCAGGTGCCAATACCTGCAGGGCTACACAAACTGCGGTTTCGATCCACCAGTTTGAAATTCAGTGTGTGCCACTGTATGCTCCAAGGTGCACTGAGTCTTTGCTGATGCTGTCTAGAGC